AGCATTTCCTGTGTTAATCCGAAATTTCCCCCGCAGCGGACTTTGACTCTCTCCACCATTTCCCGTATGGCCAGTGGCGTACCGTCAACTAAGCGTGCATCTATCTCATGTAAACAACGGCTAAGTGTCAGTTGCAGTTTTCGTGCGGTTGCGGTATTAACTAAACTGTGACTTGCTCCTCCGTCGATAAAAATCGTCACTGCTGCTCCCTGTATTTTCCCGTGGATCAGTACTGGGCAATCTGTCGCTGTACCCTCCCTATTCGTCCGAGTCCGATCGATAGCATGAATCGGTACTGTGACTCGGTGAGGGTCGGTGGGGTTGGGCGAGCAGGCAGTCTCGTCAGTAGTTGGCACGATTCCTACTGACTGCTAGCGTTTCCCTACCTTGGAGACTCCCTCCCCTGCTCTGCTCCGCGGCGCCTCAGCTCCTCTGGGCATTCACTCTTGCGATAGCCCGGCCTATTGCAAGCAAAGCACTGCCCCTTAAACGGCGCGACAGCTGTATTCGTCGCAACGACATATACGGTGGTGTGCTCGATCGGTCCCCGAGGGCGATATCCATAGTAGGACCCCAGTCTCGGACGGCGCAAAATGTCGATTTTCTCGGCGAGCGCGAGAATCTCGTTGAAGTTCGAGAGCCCGCGTTGCATGATCTCGTGCGAGATGTCTGTCTTCAGTCCTCCGACGTAACGGTCCACCCGCTCCGCTTCGTGCATGTAGCCAACTTGCTCGCATAATGCGAGAAAACCGCTCGTGTAGTCTTGAACCGACCCGAGCTGCCGCCAAGTACGCAGTCTCTGACGCGCCGAAATAGAAGCCGCGATTGGCTCGAAGCGCGCCCAAAGCCCTGCGCACCACACATCCCATGTGCTGTACTGGGCGGTTTCGCAGAATGAACTCCAGGTGACAGCTGGACCCGTGGGCCCTTCCTCTTGCGACGGTGGCTCGTAGGCGCGTGGCGACGTCACGATGACTCGCCACCAGTCCATGGCGGGGCCAGGGCTCTCGTTATCAGACCATTTTGGTCTGATGGTCTGATTTTCAGACTCATTTTTTTATATCCATATGATTTTCCAATCTAGATCAGACAAAACAATTGTTTTGCCTGGCGGACCCGTCTGACAGAATCAGACGCCCTCAGATCCTAGCAAAAGCTTTGGGCGGGGCCCCTCAGCAGAGAGACGGCATATCGGATCTTCGCTGCATCTGACTCGACGTAGTTTGCGTCGAAAAATACGTTCATCGTGAATGTTGATAAACTAGCGAGAATTTGGCTTAGGAGCCATAGTAGCTTAGGAGTGAGTTCGAGTTTTAGGGTGTAAGTGAAATGTCGAGAGAATTGTGGAAGGAGAATGTTGAAACTAGAAAGGAGGGGGATACAAGTAGTAAGCCCTAAAAGGGTTATACTCACTTTTGAGTACCCCACTACAGACTAGACATGCATTATAATCTGACACACCCCCATAGTCAAAGTGGGGTATAATCAGTACAGCATGCAGGCATAGAGCTATAGTTCACAATAGGTAAGTAAGGCTAGAGCTAATCACAGTGGGCAAGTGAGGAGGAGGAGAGACTGTGGGGAAGAGAAGATGGGAGGCGACTGCTGACGCTGCAGACACACGGACGAGCTGCTGGCTCAGTGGCTACCGAAGCAAAGGCCCGGACTACAGGAGTAAGTGGCTCCGCGGCTAAAAGTAGCGGCAGACGAGCAACTGACCCACAGGCGACTGGCGACTACCGGAGATTGTAGCCTCCGGACTGCAGGTGCTGCTGACGACAAGACTGCTGCCTCCACTCAACCTCCCCCAGCTGCCCAACGCCCCTCTCACACACCCTCTGATCAAACCCTAGCCATACACCCACAGCACCCTCTTAAACCCTAAACCCCAGACTCCCACACATCCACCCCCCTCAGCGATAGCTGTAGCAGTGGGAGACGAAGGAGGAGGAGGAGGAGGGGACGGCACGCACAACCGACACCCCCACAACCATCACCCCCACACCCACCCCCCCACGGCTGCACCGGGTCCAGGAGCGGCTGTTGCAGGGGCCAGGGGTGGCTGCTGCTGGGGCGGCTGCTCCAGGGGCTGCAGCTGCTGGGGCGGCTGCTCCAGGGGCTGCTGCTGCTGCTGGGGCAGCTGCTCCAGGGGCTGCTGCTGCTGGGGCGGCTGCTCCAGGGGCTGCTGCTGCTGCTGGGGCGGCTGCTACAGGGGCTGCTGCTACTGGGGCGGCTGCTCCAGGGGCTGCTGCTGCTGGAGCGGCTGCTCCAGGGGGTGCTGCTGCTGGGGCGGCTGCTCCAGGTGCTGCTGCTGCTGGGGCGGCTGCTCCAGGGGCTGCTGCTGCAGTGGAAATTAGGAGGGAGGGGAGGGGAAGGGCGCGGCCCCCAGGGTGCCCTGACGGGCGACGTGCTAGGGAGCCGCGCAGGCCCCCGAAAGTGCCTCGACGGGCGAGCGAAGGGGACCGCGCGCAGGCCCCTAAGGCGCCGTGACGAGGCAACGGGAGGGGCCGGCTCGCGGGCCCCGAAAGTGCCGCGACGAGGCGACGGGAGGGGCCTGCGTGCGGGCCCCCAAAACGCCACGACGAGGCGACGGTCGGGGCCAGTGCGCGGGCCCCCAAGACGCCGCGACGAGGTAGGAACCCGCCGCGCGCCTCGGGGCGCACGGCGGGCAGAAAACCGCCACGCGTTCCGAGCGCGTGGCGGGAAGAAAAATAGAATGTCGCGCGCCACGGGGCGCGCGACACACAGTAGGGCAGCGGAAGCAAGTGGGCCCACAGGCCAAGAGCTTTAAGCTCTGATAGCATGCTGATAAACTAGCGAGAATTTGGCTTAGGAGCCATAGTAGCTTAGGAGTGAGTTCGAGTTTTAGGGTGTAAGTGAAATGTCGAGAGAATTGTGGAAGGAGAATGTTGAAACTAGAAAGGAGGGGGATACAAGTAGTAAGCCATAAAAGGGTTATACTCACTTTTGAGTACCCCACTACAAACTAGACATGCATTATAATCTGACAGTGAAGACCTACGATTGAACCGTCGGACCTCCACGCTGGCTTGGGTCGAAACAGGGCGGGCGCTGCGGCTTGAGTGGCATTGGTGCCATGATGGCCTGGTCGCCAATTGTCGCCGCGAACTCCACGTGCCGACAGGCTTCACGAGGCTCCCGTGGGCTTGGCGCGACCCTGTTTCTCCCCATGCCCGGCATCTGTTGGGCGGCGCCATCACTGGCTGCGCCTGAGCGCTGTCCCACGCTGTCGTTCTGTGTAGGTGTGTCTGATGAAATTATGATCGGCTCCTCCGATTGTGCAGGTGCATTTGCAGGTGTATTCACCGTGGATTGCTGACAGGCGGAGTCACGTTCCGCCGTGAGCGTCGCAATTTCGAGCGCCGATTCTTCAACTTGGCGCACGAGACGGTCGAGTTGCTCCTGCGTCAGTGTCGCGAGAGTAAATTCGGCCATGGCGGGGGTGTCGGGCAAGCTCAGCGAGAGCCTCTGTCGTGGCCGTGCGTGCTTACGAGAGAGCACTACGAGCGGCGGTGCTGTGTCGCTGAGAGACGTCTACCCCCCCCCAAAAATTGAGATAGTGGGGAAGCGAAGGTGTGGGTGCGGTCCGAGAAGAGATCGTAGGCTCTGAATACGAAGTGTTACGAGTACAATTGAGTGATCGAGCGAGAATTGCACTATCGAAGCAAGAGTACAATGAGCGAAGGCATGAGCGAAGAATATATAGCGAAACTACAGTGGTAACGGTAATGGACTGTGGTTGTCGCGCGATGGGCCTGGGACTGAGGCTTGGGGAAATGTCGAAGCGGAGGCCCAGAGGGCGGGTTACCCGCCGAGCTGTGAGGTTGGGGTGTGAGGTGTGAAGGTGGCGGGAGGATTGTCGATGCGAGGGTTGCGAGTGGTAACGGTGCTGACTGTGGTGCTACAGTGGTGTACACGCTGAGCGGGGACGCGAAGTAAGGAAAAGGAATTTTCCTTACATCACTCAACCAGGTCAGCGAAAATACTAATGGTCATAAAATTATCTCATGACGTTGTTTCCACACGCAATCACATTTACCATACAGTCCCACCCAGTACAGCAAATTAGACTGAAAAGCATAGCACATCATGCATACCGTAAGCCCCCGGATAGAAGCGCAGGCCTCGGATAAGCGCCGGCGCTTATAAAAGGATGAGGGCGCTTATATCCGGTCCTCGATTATAAGCGCACCCCTAAAGGCTTACGGATTATAAGCGCCACCCTCTGAATTATTTTTTAATATTTTTACTGGAAACGCTGTAACGAAACACAATTTTTGCATCCCAACATTCAGAAATTCGAATCCCTTCACCATCGCGCGACTCAATGCCAATTTACGCGAGATTCACATTCCAGCCCCCTAGAATATCGATTCGATTCAAATCGCAAGGACGAGATGAACACTTTGGTGTAAAAAAACTAGATTTCATATATGTCATTTTATAAGCCCCGGCGCTTATAAAAATCCTCAATTATAAGCCCACCCCCTAAAAAACAGTGTTTTTTTATAACCCCAGGGGCGCTTCTATCCGGGGGCTGACGGTATGAGAAAAGGGAACAAGTTGCTTCCCTTAAATAATGACTGGAAAAGAGCCTGATAGAGCATGTGCTCATGGGTTAATTAACGAAGTTACAATTGTTTTACTCCAGTTGGCTGCATCATGCTGCAATGCCAGTCCATGTTGCAATCATTGCACTGTCCATGATCTCTTGAGCCTCTTCGTCAGTCTGCCATGCCAACCAAGTGATTCACAAGACACACCACAAGGAGCACATGGTTTAACAATAACACGATTGCACGGTATATACATCTTTACACACACATTAAATGCACACATTGTACGGTATACACATCTTTATATGTACATGCACACATACCGGTACGCATGCACCCAGACACGCTCTCACTCCGACTGACTCACAACAAAGCAGATAAAACCCCAAATCGTCACACCCCTTCTCCTTCCACCCATACCCCTCATCCCACCACCCTCACCTCGCACTGTTCTCGGACAGAAGCAGCATCAGGAAGGCTCCACCCCCACAGCCGCTCACTCACCCTCACCGCACGCATTCTCAGCTGCCCCTGCTGTCCCCCCCACTGCCCCCACTGCGCCTGCGGCCCCCCCTGCTGCCAGCCAAAGCGCTTGTGAGCATAGAGCAGGAGGCGGGCTATGTATCGAGCATTGTCCCTCCGCCTGGGCCACCGCCAATAGATGTGCGCCGCCATGCGCGCTGCAACGGCCAGGATTAGATCCCCGATGTCCTTCTCGCGCGGATCGACGGTGGAGATCAGGCGCTCGATCCAGGCCCAGGCGGAGGCGAGGGAGGAGGGAGAGCGGTGGAGGGAGGGGCTGAGGGGGGAAGGGGAGGAGGAGGAGGAGGAGGAGGAGGAGGAGGAGGAGGAGGAGGAGGAGGAGGAGGAGGAGGAGGAGGAGGAGGAGGAGGAGGAGGAGGAGGTAGTGGTGGTACTGATGGGTGCAGAGGGGTTGGGTGCAGAGGGGGCTGCATGCGGTTGCTTGTTGGAGGAGGAACGGGAGAAGGATGCTGAGGAGGTGGAGGAGGAGGAGGTGGAGGAGGAGGAGGTGGAAGCCGAGGTGGGGAAAAGCGAGTGGGAGACGGAGCAAGGCGAGACGGCTCTAGGGGTGGACTCGAGGTAAATGGGGCCGGGCGAGGTGAGGGTGATGAGCAGCCCTTCTAGGCCCCAGTCGAACACCTCCAGCATCTGCTGCTCCGGGATAGCTCCATCCGGCGTCACTGCCTGTAAGAGGAGAGAGAGGGGTGGAGGAAGGGAGACAGGAATGATGTGAGGGTGGTGAGCGTGATGAGCAGCCGTTCCAGCCCCCAGTCGAACACCTCTAACACCTGCTGCTCTGGGATGGCCCCATCTGGTGTCACTGCCTGTGGGGTGGGAGGGAAATGACGGAGAGGGAGAAGACGGATTGTGGGGGGGATGGGGCTAGCATCTGCTGCTCTGGTATGGCCCCGTCTGGCGTCACTGCCTGCAGAGGTGACAAGGAGAGAAGGGCGGGGGAGAAAGCGGAGAGGGAGAGAAGGGAAAGAGAGGATAAGGATTGTGAGGGGGTCAGCGAGAGGTGAGTATGAAAAATGGTGTCACTGTGGGAAGTTGGTTTCTGAGAATTCTCAAGAGCCAGCGAGTTCTCAAGAGCCAGCGAGTTCTCAAGAGCCAGCGAGTTCTCAAGAGCCAGCGAGTTCTCAAGAGCCAGTGAGTTCTCAAGAGCCAGCGAGTTCTCAAGAGCCAGCGAGTTCTCAAGAGCCAGCGAGTTCTCAAGAGCCAGCGAGTTCTCAAGAGCCAGCGAGTTCTCAAGAGCCAGCGAGTTCTCAAGAGCCAGCGAGTTCTCAAGAGCCAGCGAGTTCTCAAGAGCCAGCGAGTTCTCAAGAGCCAGCGTGTCTCCAGCCCCCAGTCGAGCACCTCTAGCACCTGCTGCTCTGGAATGGTTCCCTGTCAATGCCTGGAGGGTGGGAGGAGGGAGGGAACACAGAGGGAGACACGGGATTGCGAGGGGTCCTGGGAAAGGTGAGCGTTACAAATGTGGTGCCCCCAGAGAGCACCACAGAGAGCACCACAGAGAGCACCACAGAGAGCACCACAGAGAGCACCACAGAGAGCACCACAGAGAGCACCACAGAGAGCACCACAGAGAGCACCACAGAGAGCACCACAGAGAGCACCACAGAGAGCACCACAGAGAGCACTTCACAAATCTGCTGCTCTGGATGGTCCCGTCTGGGGTCACAGCCTGCAGGGTGGGAGGGAAGGAGTCGGACAAGGAGGGGGCTGGGCGCGGTGGGAGTTTCGTGGGTGTGAGTGTGAGCCACCCACTTCCCATAGGCCAATCCACCCACTTCCCATAGGCCAATCCACCCACTTCCCATAGGCCAATCCACCCACTTCCCATAGGCCAATCCACCCACTTCCCATAGGCCAATCCACCCACTTCCCATAGGCCAATCCACCCACTTCCCATAGGCCAATCCACCCACTTCCCATAGGCCAATCCACCCACTTCCCATAGGCCAATCCACCCACTTCCCATAGGCCAATCCACCCACTTCCCATAGGCCAATCCACCCACTTCCCATAGGCCAATCCACCCACTTCCCATAGGCCAATCCACCCACTTCCCATAGGCCAATCCACCCACTTCCCATAGGCCAATCCACCCACTTCCCATAGGCCAATCCACCCACTTCCCATAGGCCAATCCACCCACTTCCCATAGGCCAATCCACCCACTTCCCATAGGCCAATCCACCCACTTCCCATAGGCCAATCCACCCACCTCCCATAGGCCAATCCACCCACTTCCCATAGGCCAATCCACCCACTTCCCATAGGCCAATCCACCCACTTCCCATAGGCCAATCCACCCACTTCCCATAGGCCAATCCACCCACTTCCCATAGGCCAATCCACCCACTTCCCATAGGCCAATCCACCCACCTCCCATAGGCCAATCCACCCACTTCCCATAGGCCAATCCACCCACTTCCCATAGGCCAATCCACCCACTTCCCATAGGCCAATCCACCCACTTCCCATAGGCCAATCCACCCACTTCCCATAGGCCAATCCACCCACTTCCCATAGGCCAATCCACCCACTTCCCATAGGCCAATCCTCTTTAAAAAGGAAAGTCTCACCTTGAACGTCCCTTTGACCGCTTTCCCCCACATGACAGGCAGAGCCTTGTGAGCCAACACGCTCTGCTTCTCCAGAAGCCAAGCACAACCACTCACACAGCCAGTCGTGTCTCAAAACAGATCTCACCTTGAAGATTCCAAGTTGTTTCAGAACAAGCCTTACCTTGAACGTCCCTTTGACTGCCTTCCCCCACATGACAGGCAGAGCCTTATGTGCCAGTGCGCTTTCCCTCTCCAGCAGCCCTCCCACCGCCTTCCACTGCGCCCACCCCACCTCCACGCCTGGGAAGCTCACTTCCGCCGCCCACCGAACCAGCGCCGCCTCCCGAACCTGCCGCTGCCGAGCCTCCTGATCAGCCTCGGCCGGTTTGCCGTCCGGGCCTTCTGCCACTGCCGAGCCTAGCGGGGAGGGTCGGGGAGTGATGCGGCCGTTTTGGGTGTGCAGGGAGAAAGGTGGAGGGCGGGATGAGGTGGACGTGGTGGCAGTAGCGGTGGAAGAGGCGAGAGAGGTGGAGGTGCGAGTGGTAGAGGCTGAAGAGGAGGACGAGGAGGATTTTGGGAAAATGGTGAAGGGCGGGAGGGACGGCAGTAGTTGTTGGGGAGAGGAGGATTCGCGTGAATGTATGGTGGAGGTTTTAGCGAATGAGAAGCTCGCCTCGCCTTGCTCCTCCTCCTCCTCTTCCTCCTCCTCATCTTGCTTTTCCTCCCCCTCCTCCTCACTCCCCTCCTCGCACACCTCTCCATAAATCCTCTCCCCCTCACTCCCCTCCTCACTCTTCTTGTCAACCCTACTGCCCGCCTCCTCTCCTTCCAAAACCACATGCAGAGCCCCCGGCGCACTCACCGCATTCAGAGCCCGCGGCGCACTCACCGCTCGCTGCCCATGCAAAGCCACATCTGCACCTCCTTCCTTCACCCCCTCTTCACATCCCCCTCTTCCTTCAGCCCCTGCACCCACAGCCCCTGCACCCACAGCCCCTGCACCCACAGCCCCTGCACCCACAGCCCCTGCACCCACAGCCCCTGCACCCACAGCCCCTGCACCCACAGCCCTTGCATCCACAGCCCCTGCACCCACAGCCCTTGCATCCACAGCCCCCTGTCCTTCCCGAACCTCCTTCACACCCTCCTCCTCCACACCGCCTTCATCCTCACCCCCCTCGCTCCAGCACCGCCTTGAGAGCGCTTTCCTTAGTTGTGAAGAAGCTCGCAATCGCCCGCCCCTCGCCCGTCTCTTCTGCCCTGCTGCCCCCATCGCCCAATCTCATACTCTTGCTGCGGAACGACCTATGAGTCGGCTCAAGCTCAAACGTCTCCCCTGTCTCTCCTGCCCGGCTGCCATCGCACTGCCGCACACTCTTGTTGCCATCACCCGATTGCACACTCTTGCTGCGGAACGGCCGCACGCTCTTCCCATCGCGCTGCACTGCACTGCTCCCATAGTACTGCCCGGCATAGATGATCACGTTCTCGCCGTCACCGTCGCTTTCATTCCCCTCTTCCTCTCTACCTGTCGCCCTCTCGCTGTCCCGCTCAACCTCCCCCTTCCTCCCCTCCTCCCCTTTCTCTTCGTCCCCCTTCCCTTCTGTTCCGTTCGCTTTCCCCTCCTCCCCTTTCCCCTCTGCCCATTCCCCCTCCGCCCCCTTCCCTTCCACACCGTCCGCCCCTTTCTCCTCCTTCCCCTCCCCATCCCCGTCCCTTTCCCCTTCCCCATCCCCCTCCCCCTCCCCTTCCCCTTCCACCTCCATTCGTTCCCCCTCGGCCCCTTTCCCCTCTCCCCCTTCCCCCTCGGTCCCTCCCCTCTCCACCCCCTCCTCCCCTTTCTCCTCCTTTTTCTCCTCCCCATCCCCCCTCCTCCTCCCCCTCTTCTTCCACCACCAGCAGCGGCTCAATGGCCAGTCTGAGCACGAACCGCGCGCATAGGGCGCTCATCTCGCCCGCGCGCTCCTGCTCCTCGCGAGACGGTGGTGCCCCGAACACGCGACTCAGCTGCAGAAACCCGTTGGCCAGCTCGTATGCCCACGGGTAGCTCACTCCCCTCCTCGCTGCTCCCCCTGCTCCTACCGCTGTTGCTGTCCCCCCTGCTGCTGCCTCTCCTCCTGCTCTTAGTACTCCTCCTCCTGCTGCTCCTCCTCCTCCTGCTGCTCCTCCTCCTCCTGCTGCTCCTCCAGACCCCAAGCCCCCTCCCACTCCCATTCCTGTCCCTCCTCTTCCCCCGCCTATGCCACCCCACTCCCTGCCACACCCCAGCGCTCTGCTCCTCGCCTCAGCAGCAGCACTGGCAGCAGCAGCCGCCCGCAGAGGCTCCAAAAACGCCGCCCCGAACGCCATCGCATACTGCCACCGCACGCCGCCCGACGGCGCGTGCGTCAGTCCGAAATGCGCCGCCCCGAGCAGCCGGTGGATCCGCTGCGGCACGGGCTCCGTCCCATTAGGCACCATCGCCGCCCGGACCGTATCCGCTACAGTATCCAAATCATCATAAGCGACAGCGGCGGCCCTAAGAGAGATTCTTATAGCCGCCTCCATACACCCCATCTCGTCTGCTCTATCGGCTAAAAGCCACAGGTCCTCCTGGGTCAAATGGGGTAGTTCCGCAACTTCCCCGGCCAAAACGAGGGCGAGAATCCCGGGGGCCGAGCGCGTGCGTGGTGAGAAGCGAGTCCAGCTGGCGAAGACGGTGCGAGTAGGAAGTGGACTGGTTGGTGGTGGGGGCGTTGGTAGGGGCGTTGGAAGGACCATGGGGAGAGGTGTTGGGAGGGGTGGGAGCTAGGCTGGTCCTGCCAGCCGTGGTGCTGGGAGGGGCGTGGAGAATGGATCGAACGAGTGCCAGCTCTGCCAGCTCTGTGAGTCGCGTGGGACCAAAGAACCCTGCAGCAGAGACAGATGCAGAGGATGCTAACTCCCCTCCAGCACCACCAGCACCACCAGCACCACCAGCACCAGTGGCGGCTCCAGCAGTGGCGCGGCGCATGGGAGCAGGAGCATTAGAGATGGACATGCTTCCTGCCCGACCCACACCCGAGCCTATCGTCCCATGCCTCCTCCACAGCCTCGACAGATCCCCCATGCCGCCCTCCTCCTCCGCACCGTCCCCTCCTGCCCCCCGCTCGTCCCCCAGGAACAAGGCACCGATCTTGTTGCGGAAGCCAATGGACGGCTGCCGCTGGAAAGGCGACGCACCCCCCTGCCACGACGGCTGGCGCTGAAACAACGCACTGTCTCCCCCACCGCCACCCCAGGACGGCTGACGGTACAGCGAGGAACGGCCACCAGCAGCAGTGGCAGTGGCAGCAGCAGGCTTGCCGGAGGCCCAGGAAGGCTGGCGCTGGAAGAGAGCCGGGTTGACTCCGTTGAGCAGTGGTGAGGTACTGCTGCTGCCGCCACCTGCTGTGCTGCTTCTCGTGCCCTTGCCACCTGACACACTCCCTGCTGCACTCTCCTCGTCTTCCCGGAACCCCTTTATCACTGTCACACTCCCTGTAGGCGTCGCCACTCCCCCATACCCCCCCATCCCGTACCCCTCCAGTCCATAACCTTCCATCCCAGCAACCACCCCGTTGACCCCCCCCATTCCTTCTAGATACGCGCTGGCAGTGGGGGGTTGTAGTCTTAACCGGCATTTAAGAGCCAAGGCGTCTACTAAGTCTAGCAGGCACTGCAGCACGAACATGCGGCACTCCCGAGCCTCCATCTCTCGTTCTACAGCTTCCCGAGCCTCCGCCGCAGCTTCGGAATCCGCACCATCGTCATCATCATCAGCAACAGCATCAGCACCGTTGTCACTGATTCTCACTCCCTCTCTCCCTTCCTCCTCCTCCTCTTCATCCTCCTCCTCGTCCCCCAACAACCCTCCTCTCCCTCCCACACTACCCACTCCACCATCCCACCCCCCTCCTCCTCCTCTTGTCCCTCCTGCTGCTGCTGCCGCTGCCGCCCTCGCAGCCGCTGCCGCCGCTGCTGCTCCCCCTCCTCTCCGTCTCCCCCTCCCCCTCCCTCGTCTCACCCACTCCCCCCGCCTCCCGCTCCTCCCTGCAAAGCCGATCCAACAACCTCAGCACACACACAGCAGCACTCACAGGCAGACAATTAGACGCTGCTGCTGCCAACCCCAGCACCCGCACCACATCAGTGTGTTGCAGCGGAGGGGGCGGGGGAGGAGGGGAGGGAGTGGGGGTACCTGCAGGACTGCTGCTGGCCGAGTGGTGGGCGGAGTGAGAGGAGGAGTGAGGGAAGGAGTGAGGGTGGGAGAGGGGGTGGGAGTGGGAGTAGGAGAAGGAGCTACTTCTGAGCCGTTTCAGGATGTCAACTGAAGGGTTGTAGCTGCTACAGCCGAGCCCGCTGCCTATCCCCACCTCCCCCATGCTACTGTAGCCACCAAACCCGCTGCTGAGGCTATTCCCAAACCCAACCCCGAGGCTGTTCCCGAAGCTGTTGCCCGCGCCTCCACCGAAGCTGCTGCTCCTGCTGAAGCTCCCTCCGGTGCTGCTGCCGACGCTGCTGCTTCGGAACCCAAACGCACCCCCACCACCACTCCCACCAACACCGCCCCTACCAGCACCACCGCCCCCAGATAACACCTCCCCCCATGCGCCCTGCTTGCCGCCCAGAGCGCCCTGCCGCCCATCCAGCAGATCCGCCAAAAGCTGCTCCTGCAGTTGCCGCCCGGCCTCCGCCCGCAGGTCGCCCTCTACCTCTGCCACGTGCACGCCACACGCCCCCCCGTGGGGGGCACACGCCGAGAACGGCGTGCCGCTGCTGCCGCTCGCGCTGTAGCTGCCGCTGTACTCGTTACAAGATCCGAACACGTTAAAAGCACTGCACTCGTTATAAGCGCCGTACTCGTTGAGATTGTAGTACGTGCTTTCATCGCTCGACCCATTGCTGCCCGAGCTCCAGCTGTCCTCGTTACAGAGTGCTCTGTTAGGAAGCTTTTCAAAATCAAACCTTACAGTGTCACTAGAGAAATCCTCGTCATAGAGGGACTCATTCCAGTGGTTGGCAGTGGCAGCTACAGTGTCTAGTTCTGGGCCGGAACACTCACTAACAGACAACCGTGCATCTGAACCAACTCCCGCCACTCCATGTCCTGCCTTGTGTCGTCGTTTCTTCTGCCAAAGCCTCTTGTGCCGTCCCTCCCTCTTCCCTTCCCTCTCCCTCACCTCCCCATTCCTCCCCCCACCTTCCTGATAATCAGCGCCAGAACCCTCCACGAAGCTTCCAGAATCCTGCCCGTGTTCCCCCCTTCCTCCCCTTCCTCCCCGTCTGCCCCTTCTCCCCCTCCCCTCCCCCCCTCCCACTAGTCAAATCGATACTCTCCATCCCCCCCTCCGCCTCCCCTCTTCCCCCTTTATCCCCCTCCTCATCCCCCAGGTCAACTGAGAAAAACGTCCCTTCTTCCAAGGGTTTCTTGCAACTTAACCCATCCAACTGCACTTCCAGCACGGAATTACCCCCTAGAACCCTCTCCTTCCCCTCTTTGCCCAAAACTCCCCCATCCTTCCCCGCACCTCCCCCTTTCCCCCCTTCTTTCCGCCTCATCCTCTCCCTCCGCTTCTTCAGACTCCGCAGCCCCCCTTCCGCGCCCTTCCGCCCCCACTGCCCGGCCCCCCTCCCCAGCTTCCCCCCCTGCCCCGCCGAGCCTAATCCCGAGCCTAGCGCCGAGGCTGCAGCTTCGGCGCCGTGGCTGGCAGGTTTGGCCCATTGCTTCCAGAATTCGACCCACATCGCCAGCCCCACCACGAACACTTCTTCCACTTTCGCAGCCTCCAGCCCCAGATGCCCCTGCGAAGCTGTGCGACTTTCGCCAGGCTTAGCGCGCGCCTCTGATTGGCTGCTTCCCACGTGCCTGTGCGACAGCGCCTGCCCCAGCGACAGCGAGCGACTGTGCCCAAGTTTCGGGGCTTTCTGCGACGAGCTTCGGGGGAACGGGTGAGGCGGGGGGACCGAACCTGCGTCCCCGATTCGGGAGCTCGCCGGGCCAAACCCGGACCTAGTGCTGGTGCTTCGGGTAAAACGTTGACTAATACTCCCGATCCCCGCAATGCTCCGCCCGCTTCTTCCGCCCACTCCCCCAGCGCCTCCCCCTCCGCCCCCCGCGCCGTTAATTGCGCTGCTCACCTCCTTATTCCCCGCCGCCATCGCAGAAGCTTCCGCGATCTTGCTCACCAGCCAGTCGTACTCCGCGCGCGCCAGCTGCCGCATCGCGCCTTCCAGCTGCTCCAGCGCCTCGCGCGTCGCCGCCTCCCGCGCGCGCGCCACGGGCGCCGCCACGAGCCGCCGGCTGGACAGCCGCTTCAGCGGATGCAGCGCCGGCTGCTGCTGCTGCGACGCGACGAATTCACTCGCAACTGCGCGTGACGCACTTGCAGCGGCTGCGGCGGCTGTAGGAACCCCTTCCCCCCCAGCTGCAGCTACTGCAGATTTGGCGGAAAGTTCCCCATTAGTGGGGGAGGAGGGGGACGAACGCCGTCCGGGGAGTTCTGGCGCATCCGCCGCGGTCGCGGAATGCGCCTGGTGGGCGCCGCCGCCGCCTCCTCCGCCGCCATCGCGGCCGCCTTCGCCGCTTCCGCCGCCAGCGGTAGCGGGAGCGCCAAGGAAGATGGCTTCTATGGAGTCCGGATCGCGGTAGTTGGCATCCGTGGCGCCTACTATTTTCTCGACGTACTGAGTTAAGAGGCCCGACACGGCGTCGTGCACGCAGTCGCTGTCGGAGAAGACCGCGCGCACGACGTCCAGATGCCACGCGCGCGGAGTGGTCAGGCGCGGGGAGGGGATCGCGGCGGAAGGGGAGGGCGGAAAGAGCGGCGGAGGGAAGTTGTAGCGGCCGACGGGCGAGGTGGGGGGCGAGTGTGGCCTTTCGAACGTGGAATTCGCCTGCCCCATGATGGTATCAAGAGTGGTCCTCCTGTAACGGGGATGTGGTGTACTAGCAGGGCGTACGCATGATTCATGCGGTTCGCAACGGTTCTGGTGTTTGTGGGAACACTATCGTGTAGAAAGTTCAAGGGGTAAGATTCGCTGAGCTGCGATGATCCTACGCGCACTATGTGCCCTATGCCGTGCGCTGCACGCGAAATTTAGGTAATGTCCCAACCTGCGATCAGTCGCCATGACTCGGGGTTATTAATCGCCATGTATTGATATTGCCACGACATACGGGTTCAAGAGGCGAGTCCATACAGACGGGACTGAGATATCTTCTAGCAGATGAAGGAACGGGATTCTCGCAGGGACGCAGGCTACTAAGCAGAACGAAGGAGTGGCGATGCGGCACGCGACGGAAACGAGGGGACGAAGACGGAACAGAACATGCGTAGGAGCAGTGCTGGAAAAAACGTCGAGTGGGAAAACAGTAGAAAAAATGCGGCAGGGGGAGGCTGAAGTATGATACATCTGTGTCGTCAATCTCTTGTTTTCACAAAATATGGACGGACAAGATTGACGGAAGATTCTGGTTCCCTGCAACATGGGGTGATGGAAGTGTTTCGAGGGAGCGAACAGCGCTCTGGTCGACAGGTTTGGGGAAATGTGTCTGGCTCGGTTCAGGCGGGAAAGCGGGTGATTCGTGTGGCGTATAACGATTGGCTTCCGTCATTACTGGCTGCTTCGAGGTCACCGAAGCTAGGATAATGTGGTTCGGGTTTTGCTTGTTCTGGCCTGGCCTACGCGGTCAGGTTGAAAGAGGGCTCGCTTCGCTGGTTCATCATCAGCCGAGCCGAGTCGACGTGGAAGTGTGGCGAGCAACAGGCCAACTCTGGCCGCAGCAAATGCACGTGCTGGCCTATGGTCGATTCATGTCAGCACAGATTCGATTCACCCCCCCAAGCCAACACGCGACGCGACCACCTGCTCAGCAAAACGTGTTTCTGCGATACAGAGATATGCGATTGAAGTTTCTGGTCCGTCCAGCAATCTAAGGTACACGAATATTCTGTAAGTTAACTGTTATCGTAACAACGTGCATCTCTGCAACACGAAATCACAAGGCACACACCACTTATGACCTAGATTTAATTGTCCCAGCCGTAACGCACTAGCGCCCACACCAAAGCGCGGCCGTCATCTCGCTCTAATTCTCTTTCCGCGCCTCCACAGCCTGGATTCCGATCTCCACCCCCCACGCCGTTCGATCGTCGTCGCACACACCCTAGGGACTCCCTGGCTTGTTGCCGCTCCCCGCAATTCCTCTCACTCCCGCTCCACCCAGCACCTCGGTGCTCCACTCTCAGTATCATCACACTCCCCTTTTCATCATCTCGCTCGATACAGTAACAAACGTTACCATGAACAAGGCGACGATTCTGGAGCTGGCGAAGGGGTTCCGCGGGCGCGCGAAGAACTGCATCCGCGCCGCGAAGCCGCGCGTGGAGAAGGCGCTGACGTACGCGTACCGCGACCGGCGCACGAAGAAGCGCGACATGCGCGGGCTGGCCATCGAACGCGTCAACGCGGGCGCGCGGCAATACGGGGTGCGTGACAGTACGGGGAGTGTGACAGTACGGGGTGAGCTGCTGTTGAGTCAGGCGGCGATACAGGGTGAGAATGAGTGAGAGGGCGGGGGATGGGTGGGGAGATGCAGCGCACATCGTGAGTTAACGCGGGCGCGTGCGGCAGTACCGGGTATGCGAACGACAGATGGACCCGAGATGATAGCTCAAGCGCTTTTTTCCATGCTACGAAGCCCACCCCCTCATTGTATTCACAACGTTGCCTCAAGTGATCCTACACACTCCTCCATCCAGCACCGCACAGCACCGCACGCATGGGTCAAACACGCACCTATCGTACTACATTCCCTCCCCCTTTACATGACCTGTTTTCCCGCAGCTACCTTCATCTCCCAGTTCCCCAGCCCTCACGACACCCTCCCCTTCCTTTTCCCTCCGACACTTCTCCCTCCCTCTCCTGCTGTCCAACCAACCCCCCGTCTCCCATATCCCCACCCCGCCCCCCCCTCCTCCCGCCTTTCCTGTTCCTCTCCCTCCCCCACCACCCCAATCCATCCTCGATACAAGCAGGTGCGGTACAGTGAGATGGTGCACGGCATGCAGCAGGCCAACGTGCAGCTCAACCGCAAGGTGCTCTCAGAGATAGCCGCTCCGAGCCCTTCACCTTCCGGGCCCTCGTTGACCTCGCCCGCCAAACCCTCAACATCCAACGGCCACAAATCCCAATGTGATGTTAGATCAACGGCTGATATGCATGGATTTATGCGTGACTCTCTATCATCCACCATTCACTCTCCTCACCAGCCTCTAAGCCCTTCACCTTCCGCTCTTCTCTCCAGGACCTCGCCCAGCAAACCTTAAACCTGAAACCCTAAACCTTGAATACTAGTCGACCACAAATTCACATGTGACGCTCCATCAACGGCCGAAACCGCATGGCGTGAGATTTGTTATCATCGCAGCATCCCTTCATCTTCCATGCTGCTCTAGTGGACACAATTGCCCTTCAAATCAACGGCTGCAACTGCCCCGTGCGCCTCACTTCGCTCTCTAGTACCTCAGCATCCATCTAAACCTCACGTTGCTGTCAAGACAGCAGCATTTGATCTGAGCCCTTTATTGGGCGTGCCTGGATTAGGGCTACAATAGATTCGGGTACCAATAGGAGGGACATTGCAATGACTACAGTTCAAGTTTAAGATAGAAAATGAGGAGGAAATATATTCCAAATTGTTGGCAATTACTCTGGTGGGAGTGCAGTTAAACAAAAAATGTATTCAGCGCTCTCTCATTCTCCCGTTTTCCATCACCCTGCCCCATTCTCCCGCTTTCGTTCATCCCGCCCCATTCTCCCTCCTTCCATCACCGCCCCATTCTCCCGCTTTTCATCACCCGCCCCATTCTCCCGCTTTTCATCACCCCGCCCCATTCTCCTGCTTTCCATCACCCCGCCGATTCTCCCGGTTTCCATCACCCTGCCCCATTCTCCCTCTTTCCATCATCCTGTCCCATTCTCCCTCCTTCCATCACCCCGCCCCATTCTACCGCTTTCCATCACCCCATCCCATTATCCCGTTTTCCATCACCCCGCCCCATTCTCCCGCTTTCCATCACCCCGCCCCATTCTCCCGCTTTCCTTCACCCCGCCCCATTTTCCTGTTTTCCATCACCCCGCCCCATTCTCCCTCCTTCCATTACCCCGCCCCATTCTCCCTCCTTCCATCACCCCGCCCCATTCTCCCGCTTTCCATCACCCCGCCCCCCCCATCACCCGGTTTCCATCAACCCCGCCCCATTCCCCCGCTTTCCTTCACCCCGCCCCATTTTCCCGTTTCCATCACCCCGCGCCATTCTCCCGTTTCTATCACCCCACCCCATTCTCCCTCTTCCATTACCCCGCCCCATTCTCCCTCCTTCCATCACCCCGCCCCATTCTCCCGCTTTCCATCACCCCGCCCCATTCACCCGGTTTCCATCACCCTGCCCCATTCTCCCGCTTCCATCTACCCACCCCATTCTCCCGCTTTTTTTTCACCCCGCCCCATTCTCCCGCTTTCCATCAACCCGCCCCATTCTCCCGCTTTCCATCACCCGCCCCATTCACCCGGTTTCCATCACCCTGCCCCATT